TTCTCACACAATCACTATTTTATTCAGCTGGTATCATTCACCTGTAACAATATCAAAAATGTAGCCCAGAAAGATCCCCACTAAACTTGATTTTCTTCTGAAGGTGACATTGGAGGGGCAGGGTTGAAATGCTTTACATTTCGTATTTTAGAAAGTGTTATAACAAACTAAATATCTGTTGATAGGATAGATAGAACTTGAGAGGGTGGGATGGGTATGAAATCCTGAAGGCTCTCCCGTTGAGAAGATCAAGAATAACAGTAAGATGCCTGGCTAGGGAGAAGCATGCCGTGTTCATCTTTGCCTCATAGATCCCACACTGAACAATAGGCCAGGTGTGAGCTGAGAAGCGAGGGCACGGGAACGAGGCGGAGCTAGTCCTTGCATCATCTGTTGACCTAGGCAGACACTGCCCACCGCACTGCGTATCCCTGAGTAGTGCATACTGCAAAAGGCACTCGGACACCAGCAGTGATTGAGCAAGGACCATGTGCCAGAAGCTGCCGTTTTAAGTCTGCGTGCACGCCATTGTCCCTTCATTATTACAGCCACCTTAGGATTTGGTATCTGCAGATTACAAGGAAGCAAGGACTCAGTATACGGCACGGTTGCCTGAGGTTACATGATACAGTCGGTCACAGCTGAGCTCTTACCGTTGTAAGATACACCATGATTTTATGTGCTCTTGCAAAAATGGAGCCCAGTGACAGCATAAAATGCCACAAATTGAAAGCCGTATTTGGAGATACCAGCATGCAAAACAGGTGCATTTTATACTCAGTGATCTACGACAGTTAGTAGGTGTTTAGAGTGGTCACTTGAACCCCATCCCCCCCTCAACATGTTCATGTCCAAAGCAAGGAGATTAAATTACGAACATTGGATGGATGATATCCCTAAATAACATGATTCTGAGGTAAGTAAAGGGTGAAACTGAGAATGGGGGCGGGCTTAGTAAGGGAAGTCCTATTTCAGAGATTCCTCACTAACTTTAGGACCAATGATTGAACTAGAGAAAGCCAAGGTGTGGCTTGCCCTATAGCTCAGAGGTTCAGAGCCATGCACTGGGATCTGAGTCCACGTGGTTGGCTGCAGTTGGAATCTGCCTGGACAAACACGCTGGGAGCATATACTTGATTGCCCAAGATCCTGACTGGAAGGAGGGTGGAGGAAAAGGATTGGGGTGTGAGCACGCTCCATCGGGAAGTGCTTTTTCTCTCTTTCTCTGGCAAGTGCATGCACTTTCTGGCAATAATAATAATTTTAAAAATTTTAAAATAGAAAGAAACAGCAGAAGAAATCCAGGGAGACAAACAATGAGAAGTGGAGAGGGGAAGGGCTGAATTTGAAAATGGCAATGTGGGGGCTGGGAGCCTATGAGAGACAAGGGGAGATTTTTTATTTACTTTTAATGAGAGCGACTTAAGGGTACTTCAGTAGAGATGGAAAGGACCATAGAGTGAGGAAGAAGTTGAGTACACAAGATGAAGAGTTGGCCACCATAGGCCAACATTAGAAGTAGGTTAGATGGTATGGGATCCACCCCATGGGAAAGCCACTGCTCAGATGAGCCGGAGTTCTTCATGCAGCCAGAGCAATGAGGAGAATGTGTCCAATGCTTGCGATGGTCATTATTGACAAGCAGAAAGTTGTGACTGTCCCTGAAGGTGCCCTGGGAGGGAGGGATGGCATTGACGTGGCCTGTAGCACCTGTGCAGTCCAAGAGCCTGGGCTTTAGGGACCGATGGGGAGGCCATGGCCCTGCTACAAAGAACCAGGGGTCAAAGTTCTGAGTTGAGGTGATCAGGGTCATGAAAGGAACTTGAGCTTTTGACCTAGTCTTCACTTTCATTACCCCCTTAAAAATCCACCAAAATACAGCATTCATTTTCTCTCCTTCCACTCCAACTCTGAGCACCAGCTTCCCCATGTGTGTGGGTTCTTCAACCCCAAGTCTCTGCTCCATGACTGAGACTTGCTTGTTTGGGCCACTTGGAGGTAAACACAGACCTGTCTGAGCTCCCTCATATAGGAAGAATCAGTTCTTGATTATTTCCCCCATGTCTCCATAATTTCTCATCTTGAATTATAATGGTCTCTGGTTCCACTTTGCCTCCTCATGTGATTATAAGGCCATGGCTCTGGGGCCATCTTTCTTTTCACTCTTGTGTCCTCTGTGTCACTGTAGCATAACGTGGCACTCTGGGTCTCCAAATGACCATGCTAAGTGCCCAGTTCGGGTGTCAGGGGAAAAGGAGAGAGATTATCAACAGCGGTTGTTCGATTTTGAATGGAAACCCAGAAGACAGGTGATCGCCACCACCAGCAGAGCCGGGGTGATGGCTAAGTGGGGAAGGTAGTGCGTGTCCTCTTTGCTTACTTGAGTTTGGGAGGACTGATGGTAAGCTGGAAGCTGGAAGTCTGACACTGCAATGGGCTGAGGGCAAGGAGACCTGTCCCTAGTACAGAGCCACACTGCATACCTGCGGGTCCAGAGGAGGCCTGGCTAACCCCTCTACCTCTTCCAGTCTGATTGCCCCCACCCTTCCAAAGGAGATGCTGAGGGGGTTAAGGAAACCAAGTCTTTCTCTCACAGGTAGTAATGAAAAGGAAATGGGATGAGTTCTGTAAAAAGCGTTTTAGGAGGTCTTCAGAAGACTATTCATATGTCGTGGTTATTATGAAATATCCATGAAGTATTTCCTTTGAGGAACAGAATGAGCTCTGAAGTTAGATGCCACTGTAGTACCCACCTCAGAGGTCAGTGCGGGTTATAAATTAATGCATGTAAATCCGTTAAGACAGAATCTGATGAGGGACTTGAAGAGACTCAGTATGTGAGAAAACCTCCCTACGGTGTGCTTTGCTATTCCACAGGGATCTGGGGAGGAAGAGTGCACACTACAGTGGTGTGTAAAGTCTTGATTACCTAAGACTAGGAACGAGATCTATTGGAGAAATGTCCTGAGTTGGGTATTTGAGGAGCAGCAGGATCTTACCAGGTGATGCATTTTCTTAGAGTGAGTGCATATCATAGCCCAAAGCACCCATTCTCTTCTCTGGCTCAGGGAACTAGGGCCTTGTTTCTTTTCTCTGCAGGTTAAGGAAGTTTTCCTAATCTATGAAACATTAGGCCTGGTGTGTGGCTGATATGTTCTGTGCTATGGTGTACATTATTCAGCCAGGAGGGTCAAGAGGGAAATTCCAGATAAAGAGATTTGCTTCCTGATTCTGACTCTGTGCTCCAAAACTGGCTTATTATGCAATAGATAGATTGTGAGGGACCCTTGCAGGGCTACTGATGAGTGAGCACAGGAGGACCCCTGGAGAGGAGGTTCTGAAACAGATGGCTCAATGCCAGGCTCCGGCCAGCCCGACCCCACGCTCCCAGCACACGGTGAGTCTCCAGGTGCTCTCGCTAGTGACGAGAAGATCTAGCAACGGAGCAACGAAGATGGCCTGGGAGCAGGACTCCCGGGAGCGCTTGCCTTCACACAGGGGAAAGGGAAAGCGCTCACTGCCCGGCTCCGTGTGGCCTTGGGCTGGGTGAGTGGGTGAGTCCCCAGTGGCCAAGTGCACAGCATGGGCTCTACCACCTGCCATCCACTGTGCGTTAGAGAGACTGCAGATTTCGCTTGGCTTCAGCAAGCTGTGCCCTTTCAAATTCACTGTTTCTCGCAGCCATTCTGTTGTGAGCAGGAGATAAAACAAATAGTAACCTTCGTTTCCTTTCATCCAAGGATCAATGTTTAAAAAAAGCAAAACAAAGCATCTCTAGGCAACCAGTTCAAAAAAAACCAAACAAACAAACAAACAAAAAAACAAGAAAAATAAAAGAGAGAGAGAGAGAAGATTCCCCTGCTAGCAAAACATATGCCTAGAACACGTTCCGTGCTTACAGGAGACATGTGTGCTGTTTTGCTCTATGATTCAACACATCCTTCTGTGATGCGCCTCCCTTGAATATGTTGTTAATTGCTTCAAATTCACCAGACTAGGAAAGCCAGCTGCCTTCCTTAATGTGTTGGTTATTTTTATATGTCAACTTGGCTCAGTCACAGGACCCAGATATTTGGTCAAACATTATTCTAGATGTGTCTGTGAACATTTTTTTTTTATTTACATTAAATCTAGTTCTAATTTTTAAATTTAAATCAGTAGTGTTTGAGTAAATCCCACGACTCTTTCTTATGTGGGTGAGCCTCATCCAATCAGTTGAAGACTTGATAGAAAAAAGAGGGACTTCCCCAGAGGAAGAGGGAATTCTGCCAATAGACAAGATCGTCTTTAGATCCAAGCTACAACATCAACAAGTCCTGGGCTCTAGCCTGCTGGCCCACCCTGCAAACTGTGGACCGACTGCCAGTCTCTACAATCAGATGAGCCAATCCTTAAAATAAGTCTGTCTATACACACACGCATCACTTCAAGACAGGGATGCTCTCTGAGAAATACGAGTCTGTCATTCAGACATCGTCAAGTGCACTTAGCAGACTAGATGGTACCGCCTGCCGCTCGGCCAGGCCATGCGGTGGAGCCTCTGCTTCTAGGCTACAAACCTGTACAGCAGGTCCTGCCCTGAACACGGTGGACACTGCAACGCCGGGGAGTATCTGTGTATCTAAGCACACAGAAAAAGCACAGCGACGACAGCGTCAGAGAGAAAACGGAGCATCTGGAGGGGCATGATGGGAGCTTGCAGGACGACCGTGGCTCTGGGTGAGTCAGTGCGCGAGGAGTGAGCGGGAAGGCCTTGGGCGTCGTCGCACCCCACTGTAGATTTTATCAACACGGCACACTTAGGCCACACTAAAACTATAAATTTCTTTAATAATAAATTAACCTTAACTCACGGTAACTTATTTACTTCACAAACTTCTATTTTTTTTTCTTTTTCACATTTTTAAGCTCTTTTGTAATAACACTTACTTTGAAACACACATTGTACAGGTGTACAAAAATATTTCCTTTCTTTATATCGTTATTCTATCAAATTTATTCTACTTTAAAACATATTTGTTTATTTTTAACTTTTAAACCTTTTGTTGTAAACAAAGACGCAGACACACAGAGTGGCGCGTAGGAGGTCAGGGCCATGCCCATCACTGCCTCCAGCTCCACGCGGTGTCCCCCGGAAGGGCCGCGATGAACAGAATGATGGCAAAGGAACCAAGCCCAGACGAAGGACTCACTGCCCAGCTGTGTGGGGCGTGCCTGAGCGACCACCCTGCTTCTGCTGTTTCCTCAGATCTCGAGGTGCCATATCTCCATTGCCCGCAGCTTGCTGATAGTCTTACGTTCTTCTCCTCCAAGGGGCCTCTTTCTGCTTCATTTCTTAGTTTCAATTTATTTACAGCTTGCTTTTTAATTTGTCCTGACCTCTCCTTCCTTCCCTATGCAGGGACTCTCCTGGCCAGGCAGAACCACAGTGCTTTTTCAGGGCGTGAGCCTTCACTGGAACACGGCTTTCCTGCGGCGGTCTATGCAGAGCTCCCTCCAGACGCGGAGGCTGGACAGGAGGTGTCCGGGCTCTGCCAGAGAGAGGTGGGGGCTGCCTGGGGATGGATGCATTTGGTTCTTTATCAACACCCCTTCCTCTCTTACTGTTCCCACAAAACCTGCCTCGAAAGATTCCTTTAACAAAAAGACAAACATCTCACTTTCTTCTGTAACTTTTCCATGGGACTTGTGTTCATTTAGGTTTCTCTTGCAAGGCCAAGCCATGATTTAAAAGTTCCGTGGATCTATTAGATCCTGCTCTGTATATTTCATATCGCTTCCTTCTAGGTGGGCTGGGGACTGCTCTCAGGCCTCCCGTGTGTCCTGCTGGTTTCTTGCTAAACTTCATATTCCGCCGTGTGTGCATGCATGTGTGTGTTTGTGTGTGTGTGTGTGTGCATGTGTGTGCGCTCATGTATGTGTGTGCATGTGTGTCTGTGCACGCGTGTGTCTTGAGTCTCACACACTGGGATATGAGAATAAAACTCTTCCATCAAAGGATTATGGAAGGCAAACTAACTAGGTCTCTCTCTCTCTCTAAAATAATTGTTGTTTTAGGCATTACGAGAAGTAAAGGATATTAGTTTTCATTAGGAAAAAATATGCTCATGTTCCCAACTACAAGCTGAGGGTTTCTAAACCATGCGCAGAAGGCCAGGAAGCCCCTCAGGTTTGATGCTCAGGACCCCTGCTCCTTTGAGACAAGCAGCGCTGGATTTACAGCTCTACAGCTGTTCCAGTAAGTTCTATCTTCCCATTAACCCCTGGCAGTCACCATGACTTCTTGATACCAGTTAATTAACAAACGCGGGTGTGCCTCCAGAGGGGCTGCTGGTGTCTTTGGTGTGGCCGGTCTGCTAAAATGAAGCGCAGGTCCCTCCTTTGTTCTTCCCAGCGCTTTTCTTGTGGACTCACCACACTTTGAATCTCAAATGAGCTGCCTAATTAATCTCCACCACGCTCCTGCGGGATGGGACGGCTTGTCCATTATCTTCATTTTGCAGATAGTAACAATTTATAGGACGTGGCTGAGGTCACAGGAAAGTTAGCATCAGAGCCAGCATAAAATTCCAAGTGCCTAAACCCCTTCTTATCCCATTCCCCAGACGACATCACTTGGTCCTCCTGGTATAACATGAGCAAGTGCAGTAGGACCTTCTTACATAGGAATGAGCAACTGTTGGCTCATGTGGCCTGGCTGCTAAGGAGGCTCGTGAAATGCACAGCAAGGAAAGGTACCAAGCAGGTGTATTCGGGAACGTATCTTGCAGTGGCTTTTAGGCCCCGTTTATGTATTTGGCCTCAAGAAAGGAATGCCATTTACGCAAACCTGGAGCTCTTCCCTGTACCAGGACTAGAGAACATGCCATGCCATGGGTTCTTGCCCATCATGTGTGGGTAAACATTTTGAACCCCATGTATGTGGTGAAGATCGCAAAGGAGATTACCTGCGCATGTGCTCTCTTCATACAACTCAGTCTGATCTCTTCCTCAGTGTAGTTAACAGTCACGTTACGTCAACAGGTGTCTTCTCCAGGTCATAGTCGGAAACAACTCGAGAACACTGCAGTATTGAAGTACGGGTCTGCAATTTTAAGAACAAGGTGTCATACAGGAGAGGACACAACCAACTGCATTCATTCAAGTCAGCAAGCACTCAGGGAACACTTTCAATGACAAAACCTGCAGGGCTGTGAGTGGGACTGTCTGCAAGTGACCTTCCCAGAGTGACTGCAAGGTGACTCCCCTGTGTTCTTATGGGAAAAATCAGGTGGAAGACGATGGCCTCATAATGCCCTCCAGCTCACGCGTTCAGGAGCACTGGATACTCCAGATAATGTTTTCCTTATTTATGATGTCAATCCAGGCTGACTCCTAGGGCTAGCTCCCATCCCTCTTTGTTAACAAGTAAACAAGTTCTGATGAAGGGAATTAACTAGTGAGTAATTAGATGTGTTTTGTGCAAGTCACCACAATGGCATCCCTTTGGTGCTGGGAGAGTTCTTTGATAATGCAAGCGCATTCTTTGAATTCCAGATTCCGGCTTGTCTCTAGGTGGCAAAGTGAGGGGAGTATGCTTTGCCAAACGGAGCTGATAGGAGGCTTGTCTGGCCTTTAAGCGATTGTCAGTTAGGACTGTGTCTGGGTAGGATAGCTCAAAACACCAACATCATTCTGACCTTTGTTACACCTGCTTTGAGAATGATACCAACTTTGATATGGAGATAAGACTGCACTTTCAGACTTATCAATCTGCAGGACAGAAAAGCTTTCAACTATTAATACATTGGAGTTGCTTATCAAAGACATAGGCATTCTTTACACTTAGAAATTCGCAATGAGAGGCATATCATTTATCATGCAGTTAATTTTGAGACATAACGAATAGCTCTCCTAAAATTATCAAAGCTGAATGTTACGGAAGAAACATAAATCTTAAAAATTGCATACCCTTGCAAGTGAGTAACATATCAAAATTTGGCAATCACTGCAAACATTTGTGGACTATTTAAAGCTGACAAATGATAAACGGAAGTGTCATTCCTTCATTAGCACTGAGAAAGCACCCCCTGAAGTCTACTGTGCCCAGTGATGAATTGGTTGATTATTTCAAACAATATAGTTGCACAAATAGACATTGACATGAACGATGGCAGCAGGTCACCTCAGCAGGACTGCATTTAGGAGGTTCTTGTATTTATGCAACAGTAAAATAGGCCTTCTTCCATGGTTCACTTCATCACAGGTGGCTTACCTACCGGAGAGCTATCTTTATGTCAAAATCGGCAGACTGGTTCATGCGCAACCCACATTCCCACAGGAACTGCAGAAGGACATGATTAATCAGGTGAAAACAGCTCCCTAATTTGTTTAGCATGTCAAACTCAAGAACAAGCCAAGATTTTCAGTCTTACAGGAGATGGAATTTGCTCTTTTTGATATTTAAACAAGCACAGGCAGTAGGGGTGTGGCTACGCTATGCTGGAGACCATGCGGGAAGGCTTCGGGTTCAAGTCTCAGGTTTACCTCAGTGGGGGCACACATGCTTGTGATCCCGGCTGGCTGCAGGGCTTAGCAAATGACTGTCATGAAGACGGTATTGAAGCAGCCTCTCTCCCTTCTTCTCCCTCATGAAGGAAATAAACTTTAAAAAAAATACACATACACACACACAAAAAAAAAAAAAAGAAAGAAAGAAAGAAAAAGAGAAAGAAAGGAAAGAAAAAAGGAAGAAAAGAAAGTCAATGACTTTTTGTGGTCAACTCATCATATTGTGTATGAGGAAACTAAAACCCAAGGGTGATAAAATTTGGCAAATTTTGATAGATAAAGTTAAGCCTAACAGACTTCTAATATGATCTGGTGTCTCTGGGAGGACTAGCCTGGGGAGTTTGTCATCTGGCATCCAGTGGGTGCCATGGGGTGCACTGTGAAGTCCCTTTGGTCAGGGTCTTGTCCTCAGCCTCAGGGTCCTAGAAAATAAAATCTGTTAATATGCTCATGGTTACCTGGATTCATGGGAACAGTGGAAAAGTTCATGCTACAGGGAGAGACTATGGCCTTCTATGTCTTCCACCTGGTCACTCCCATTCTTCCATAATAACATCTGAGAAATCGTAGATGTGGTCAGTGCTCTGCTCAAAAGTCAGTTGACTGTGTGTTTGGGGATTTTGGTGAGTGTGAGGAGGGCCAAGGAAGAGTGTGGGCTCAAAGTCATGATTTCTAGTCTTCTCAGGTTTGGGAACAACATTATTTTAGTAATGGATTAGAGACTGGTCCCATCAGTGGCTCTGAATAATTACTGCAAAACTGACTTTCTGGACTTCCTGCATCAATAATCCAGACTGGCTCTTTAGTGGTTCCCCTCCAGATAAGGTACCTTATCTGGTGTGGTTTCCCTTGATTGAGTTTTACTCTCATTTATATCCCTCCCTTGAGCCAATCGCCTTGATTAGAGTTCAAGGTGTGGTCTTCACAGGGATTCTTCTGGGGCATTTTCCTTACAGTCCCGAGGTGGAAGACCTACCCCAGCTCCTGCTACCCTTGCCATGTCTGCTGGGGAGAGATCGAGGAGTGCTCTCCCTCCTCTGTAGGATGGGGTCCTGGGCACTGGCTCCATCTCTGTGGTTAGCATGCTCTGTCTCACTGGAGTGAGGAGAACCTCTCTGCACCCCCTCTGTTGAGAAAGTTCCTTCTCCTCCCTAGCTTCACTAGAGAACAAGAAGTCAGAATTAAAACTTGCTGTATGGTTGGACAGCAGATGGTATAATGGTTACATCGCTGGACTCCCTGTAGTTGACCCCAGTTTGAGTCTTGGACCTGGCAGCTTAAAGCTCACACAAGACACATGTGCTTATGTGCCCCAAATCCTAGAGCATAGAGCAGGGATTGCGACATGACCATCCCCCAGGGGGTGATTTCTCACTTTCTGTCTTCGGTGTCTCTCTAGAAAATAAATAAATACATAAAAAAATGGATAAAACTTGCTGTATTTTTTATTCACATTCCAAGTTTGTATCTCTGAGTACAGGAGCATTTTGTGGAGAAGCATGCTTTTTAGATCCCCACTGGAGCTGGAAATGCAGGCATTCATCAGACTAACGCAGCTCCGTGTCAAACATTTCAGTCACACTTCAGCAGGCACTTCCTAGGTTAATGTCGAGTATGGCAAATCTCAAGTCTGCTATGGGTTACCTTTTTTTTTTCCCAAGGAGAGGGAGGATTATGGAAGTACAAAATTCGGTAGAATAAGCATCACAACATGTTAAATTGAAGAAAATTTCCATCATTACCAGAACTGTAAGTTCCCAATGATCTCTTGACAAAAAGACTGTAAGTGCAGAGGGCTTCATCGAGGCTTTTAATGCTTCGCTAGGAGCCTCTGCAAGTCACTCCTGAGAAGTTGGAGCCACAATGTCTCAGTAAACCTCGAAACACCCAGTAAAATAAGAACCCCTTACCTTCACTTGCAAGATATATTTTCCGAGAAAGAAGAGCATGTCGTTATTTTGTGATAAGTCCAAATTTGCTTTTTCTGATCTATGAGGGGACTTATAAAAAGCTGCAGAAAAACAGAATTAAAGAACAAGTTGATATTGGTTCAGAAAAATGTTAAGATTTATGTATAGTTTTCTTATAATACGTATTTTTCATAAACTTTTTGAAGATTTTCCCTCTTCCGTTAAGGCACCCGGCAAAGCCTTTCACTGGGTCACAGCTGAGCAGGTGGAGCAGTCTGCCTTCAGGACACATTTCTGAAGAATGGCTCTTCTCTGATTGGTGCGTCTACTCAAATTTCTCAGAATGCAGACCATTCCTTCCTGCTCTGCAGTCCTTAAAGTTTAAAAATGACAAGTGAATTCTCCAGAGATCTATGTTCCAGAGTCAGGCAGGTCATTTCTCTAGACAACAAATAAAATTGCTTTTTAATGGGACTTGACACCGAAATCAAATTTCCATGATATCCAAGTGTCATATTCACATTTTAGACTAGATTTTCAAGGAGAGAGATAGTAGAGACTGTTTATTTCATTGACTTGCTTATTTATTCAGCAAGAATTTTTGAGCCTCTGTTATGGGCTGCGGTGATGACAAGCATTGTGTTCATTGTTGGAACCACGAGAATGAGCAGAGTAGGCAGTTCCTAACCACGTGCAGTTTATCGTCTAAGTGGTCTTAGTGGAGAGAAGAATGCTTTTCTTTTTAAAAGGCTTTTGCCATAGGGCACGTGTGCTTGCCAGAAAGAGACAGAGAGAGGCAAAGAGAGACATTGAGAAGAGAAGTGAGAAATCACCCCCCCCACACACACACCTGGGAAAATGGCCACACTGCAATACCTTGTCTTTCATTCTCCTCTTGGGATTTTTAGGCATGCATGTGCGTGTGCCCAGTATGATTTTAAAGCTGCTGGGTTAGGGATTTGAACCACGGTCAGTCATGTAGGAATCTAGTGCCTTAGTCACTATGCTACCTGCTGGACCCTGAGGAGAAAAGTTCTTACAGAAGAAACAGCAATTTTATTGTAATTGTGATAAGTTATGCGGACCTTGAGTTTCCTAGAGCTCTGTCCTCACTAATTATTGAAGAAACCTGATTAGTAGCTACTATGAGCCAAGTACGTCTAACCATGAGCTCTAAGAAAGACTATGTTAACTCATCAACATCCAAATACAGTAAGCGGGATTAAAATCACTGTTCAATGTGTCACTTTCTCTTTGCTGAAGAGTTGTTGATAGGTGCTGACTCATTTCTTTATTCTTCTGTTTATGCACAAATTCACTGAAAACTCATTTCTGCTTCTTTTGCTATTACTAAAAATACTTTTCCCAAGGTCTCTAGTGGGACCTCTCATTCTGGCGAAAATGTAATAATTAGTACTAGACTAGTCCTTTAGCCATAAACAGCTAGGAAAACTAGAAGGGAAAATGTTTTGCAAAAATCAGGGGGGAAAAGGCAACCTTAAGCTATTATCCATGCAGGAAGTAAGTGAGTAAATTTCAATGCCTCGGTGCCTTGGCTTTCTGCCAGGATGATCATCGGATCATAGCCAGGAAAGGAGCCATAAAGGACGCTGAGCCTCACTGAGGTGCGGCGATGGAGATCAGAGCGGAGGGAGATAGCGTGCTAGCTCAGAGGGAACTGCACAGGCAACGGGCTGTTGGAATGTGGAACACCGCTGCAGAGCACAGAGCTGCAGAAGGCTCCAGAATGTACTTGGAGCTTCGCTTGAGTCCGCATCGGAACACTAGGCTGAACTTATGTAGGGTAAGTAAAGATATGAAGATATTACTAGGAGAGATAACTATCAAGGAACTACATTCTGAAAAGCTACTGGAGCTCACATAGAGCTTGGAAAGAGAAAGACTGTATTAAAACACTCA